CATCTGTATTTCCTTATTTGTCATGCTTGGCATATTTGTAAAAGTCATGCCGATAATTTATAAAATTAGACACCTGTTTTCACACAATTGCTAATGTAATCGTTATACATATTTATAAATAAAGAAATAACCGGATTTATTTTTTTGTTACAGATTTAACCCACAAACTGCAGATGGGGTCCAGAAAAATTGTGGGTTTTCAACTCAAATTTTTATTCGATAGAAATGCGAGAAAAGAGTTTGAATTGGGGTACTACTTCCATTCCTCCTAAAAAATATTGGCTAAAGAGGGCAACGTTTTCTTATAGCCTCATATAACTGAAACAACTGATATTCGGAATTTTCCATTTTAATTTAGCATTTTCTAATGAACTTTTTTACATTTTTGGACTTCTAAATTGTGGGAGGTATTCAAGGTTCAGGAAAGTCGAACTTGGGTGCTTTTAATTTTTTTTCTTAATTTTATTTGAGTTTTCTTGATATTGTTTTTTTTAATTTTTGTTTTACGTTTTTTGATTGTTTCATATATTTTGTAATTGTATTTATTTATTTTATTTTAATTAAGTTTTTTTATATATACATTTTTTTAAACTTATTCAATATTATTTAGAAAAACCTTATTCAATATAATTTTATTTTATTTTAAATTTGTATCTTTGTTCTAATTTTTATTTTCTTAATTTTTTTTTTATTTTATTTTTAAAAAAAAATCAAAATTTTTCCAAAAATTAAAAAAAGGCCCATTAACATTTTTCTAAAAACATTTCTTTTAATTAATTAATATTGTTTAGAAAAAACATATTCAATATTTTATTTTTAATTTAAATTTGTATCTTTGTTTTAATTTTTATTTTCTTAATTTTTTTATAAATTTCAAAATTTTTTCAAAAATTAAAAAAAAATTTGGCCCATGAAAATTTTTTCTAAAAACATTTAATTTTTCCTGGCGCCATAGAATGTTTATGTTCATAACCCAATAGCCATACAATTTTTAAGAAATTTTCGGATCTTTTCTGGGCTTTTTTTAAATTGTTAGTGGCTTCTAGGACTTCTAGGCTCATGACCGAAGGGGCCACCGAAATTTCTATAGCAAATTTTTCATGACTTGAGGAGCTATGTTATTAACTTTATTTTTAAAACTTTTTATTTAATATTGAAAAAACAACTTATTCAATATTATTTTATTTTTATTTGCATTTTATCGATTTTTTCTTAATTTTTTTTTTTTGAATTTTTATATTTTTATTTATTTTTTTTTTTTAAATTTTTTTAATTTAATTTTTTAATATATTTTCTTCATTTCTGAAATTTCCTTTTCTAAGTTTCTCAAAATATTCTGCCCTAGAACTTGTCCTACTGTATTTGGCCTTGGGCAAGTGTGAACCACTTAATTCCGTATGCATATTGATGACTTAATTCCAGCCAGCCTATCAAATAACATTTTATGGTTGGAGAGAGAGTGGGAGAGAGGGAGTGACACAGAGAGGAAGTGGTGATGGAGATTGAGGGATTTTAATATCAATACCTTGTGGACGTAATTGCCTAATAGCTTCTTATTAATTCACGACCATGTGACATTGCAATTCATTTTCGAGATGGGGCAATAAAGGCGTGCAAATTTACCGCAAATTTTGAAAATAATTTTCAAACCACAAAACGCCCTCCCCCCACACTCACACACACAACCAGCCGCCACAAAAGTAGTGAAAAATTAAATGTTGCACATTTAATTTAATTACTTTTCAAGTGTAATGCAATAATTATTGAATGATGGTCTTGATGATGATGATGTTGAAGATTGCATTTCAAATATTCGTTACATTCACATGGGAAATATATTAATATCCCAAAGATGTCGATGTTGATTTGATATTTCTAATACTCGATAATTTATGCAATTATTTTGTAAGCTCTCAAAATTGAACAAACACACAAATCACTGTAATTATATAAATTGTTTACATTCGAAATGAATTGACAATTAACACTTGAATAAATTGAAAGGGATTTGAAAGAGGGAAATTGAGTTATTGAAATTTCGTGTTGGAAAATTAAAATTTCATAGAAAAAAAATCCAAAGAAAATTCTATGGCCCTTGGGGGTCATGAAAAATTTTCTAAAGAAATTTCTATGGCCCTTGGGGGTCATGAAAAATTTTTCTAAAGAAATTTCTATGGCCCTCGGGGGCCATGAAAAATTTTCTAAAGAAATTTCTATGGCCCTCGGGGGCCATGAAAAATTTTCTAAAGAAATTTCTATGGCCCTCGGGGGCCATGAAAAATTTTCTAAAGAAAATTCTATGGCCCCCGGGGGCCATGAAAAATGTTCTAAAGAAAATTCTATGGCCCCCGGGGGCCATGAAAAATGTTCTAAAGAAAATTCTATGGCCCCCGGGGGCCATGCAAAAATTTTCTAAAGAAATTTCTATGGCCCCCGGGGGCCATGCAAAAATTTCCTAAAGAAATTTCTATGGCCCCCGGGGGCCATGCAAAAATTTCCTAAAGAAATTTCTATGGCCCCCGGGGGCCATGCAAAAATTTCCTAAAGAAATTTCTATGGCCCCCGGGGGCCATGCAAAAATTTCCTAAAGAAATTTCTATGGCCCCCGGGGGCCATGCATAAATTTTCTAAAGAAATTTCAATGGCCCCCGGGGGCCATGCATAAATTTTCTAAAGAAATTTCTATGGCCCCCGGGGGCCATGCATAAATTTTCTAAAGAAATTTCTATGGCCCCCGGGGGCCATGCATAAATTTTCTAAAGAAATTTCTATGGCCCCCGGGGGCCATGCATAAATTTTCTAAAGAAATTTCTATGGCCCCCGGGGGCCATGCATAAATTTTCTAAAGAAATTTCTATGGCTCCCGGGGGCCATGCATAAATTTTCTAAAGAAATTTCTATGGCCCCCGGGGGCCATGCATAAATTTTCTAAAGAAATTTCTATGACCCCTGGGGCCATGAACATTTTTCTAAAGAAAATTCTATGGCCCCTGGGGCTATGAAAAAATTTCTAAAGAAAACTCTATGGCCCCGGGGGCCATGAAAAATTTTCTAAAGAAATTTCTATGGCCCCGGGGGCCATAAAAATTTTCTAAAGAAATTTCTATGGCCCCGGGGGCCATGAAAAATTTTCTAAAGAAATTTCTATGGCCCCGGGGGCCATAAAAATTTTCTAAAGAAATTTCTATGGCCCCGGGGGCCATAAAAATTTTCTAAAGAAAATTCTATGGCCCCTGGGGCCATGAGAAATTTTCTAAAGAAATTTCTATGGCCCGTGGGGCCATGAGAAATTTTCTAAAGAAAATTCTATGGCTCCTGGGGCCATGAGAAATTTTCTAAAGAAATTTCTATGGCCCCGAGGTGCATAAAATATTTTTTTAAGGAAATTTCTATGGCCCCGGGGGCCATGAAAAATTTTCTAAAGAAAATTCTATGGCCCCCGGGGGCCATGAAAAATTTTCTAAAGAAAATTCTATGTCCCCCGGGGGCCATGAAAAATTTTCTAAAGAAAATTCTATGTCCCCCGGAGGCCATGAAAAATTTTCTAAAGAAATTTCTATGGCCCCCGGGGACCATGAGAAATTTTCTAAAGAAATTTCTATGGCCCCCGGGGACCATGAGAAATTTTCTAAAGAAATTTCTATGGCCCCCGGGGACCATGAGACATTTTCTAAAGAAATTTCTATGGCCCCGGGGACCATGAGAAATTTTCTAAAGAAAATTCTATGGCCCCTGGGGCCATGAGAAATTTTCTAAGGAAAATTCTATGGCCCCTGGAGCCATGAGAAATTTTCTAAAGAAAATTCTATGGCCCCGTGGGCCATGAAAAATTTTCTAAAGAAAATTCTATGGCCCCGGGGACCATGAAAAATTTTCTAAAGAAAATTCTATGGCCCCCGGGGACCATGAAAAATTTTCTAAAGAAAATTCTATGGCCCCCGGGGACCATGAAAATTTTTCTAAAGAAAATTCTATGGGCCCTGGGGCCATGAAAAATTTTCTAAAGAAAATTCTATGGGCCCTGGGGCCATGAAAAATTTTCTAAAGAAAATTCTATGGGCCCTGGGGCCATGAAAAATTTTCTAAAGAAAATTCTATGGGCCCTGGGGCCATGAAAAATTTTCTAAAGAAAATTCTATGGCCCCTGGGGCCATGAAAAATTTTCTAAAGAAAATTCTATGGCCCCCGGGGACCATAAAAAAATTTCTAAAGAAAATTCTATGGCCCCCGGGGACCATAAAAAAATTTCTAAAGAAAATTCTATGGCCCCCGGGGACCATAAAAAAATTTCTAAAGAAAATTCTATGGCCCCCGGGGGCCATGAAAAAATTTCTAAAGAAAATTCTATGGCCCCCGGGGCCATGAAAAAATTTCTAAAGAAAATTCTATGGCCCCCGGGGGCCATGAAAAATTTTCTAAAGAAAATTCTATGGCCCCCGGGAGCCATGAAAATTTTTCTAAAGAAAATTCTATGGCCCCCGGGGGCCATGAAAAATTTTCTAAAGAAAATTCTATGGCCCCTGGGGCCATGAAATATTTTCTAAAGAAAACTCTATGACCCGGGGGCCCAGGGACTATATAAATTTTTAATGACAATTTTTGTGGAGTTCTAGGGGACAGAGAATTTATTTTTTTTTATGAAATTCCATGAACAATTTTTCTTGGAAAATTCCAAGCATTCAATGGCCACAAAAAAGTGGCCTCGGTGGATAATCATGGTTGCTAGACTATTTTTAATCCAAGTTTTATTTTATTTTCTTCGTCATTTATTTATTTTGCAAATTCTATTATTTTATTTGGTTTTATTTTATTTATTTATTAATTTTTTTTTTTTTGTTTGTATAATTTCACATTTTGTACCACTGAATTTGTCAGGTTCTTGTCAAAAATAATTAAATTCATATTATCAATTTCATATTTGCGGTATACTCATCAGCATTAGCATGTTCATCAATTTCAATCAAAATCAAATAAAAGGTCAACGTTTTTTCAACACTTACCTCAACTTCGAATTGAACTGGCACTCACTTTAGGAAAGAGATGGAGTTGTTTTATTTATTTATTTTTTTTTCTGTCACTTTCCAGATATTTTCATTAAATTATTCAATCCTCGTTGTTCTTTTTTCAATTTTATTTTAAAACTAAAAAAACATTTATTATTCATTTTGTAGTTGAGTTGTAAAATTAAAAAAAACGAGATATATTTCGTTTTTCCCTTCGGGTTATATAAGGGCATGTAAATAAATTACTGCCTTAAGCTGTCTGTTACCATTGAAATGTATTCAGTTATTTTATTTTGTTTTGTTTTTAATAAAGTTTAGTAGAATGTTATTGAATGGAAATTGAATTAATTTTGCATAAATTGTTATTAGTTGTATGTTAATTTTTAAATTTGTTTTCGGGAATGGAATTTGTATAGGGAAATATTTTGCAGCCTTCGGAGGCCATAGAATTTTTTTTTTTAAGGCTCAGAATATATCGAAATTTTTATAGAGATAATTTCCCTAGCTCGGAGAACATCTTATAGAGACTTATTTTATGACCTCAAGGTCCTTGATTATTTTCTTTAAAATATGTTTCAAGATAAGATATATATATATATATATATATATATATATATATATATATACATATATATATATATATTGAAAAATTTTTAGTGGTCATTGAGAGACCACAGAACGTTTTTCTTGTAAAATATTATGGATCCTGAAGCCACATAATGTTTTTTTAGAATTTTTTTTTTTTTAAATTTGTGAAAAGAATTCTTTTCCCCTTCCAATTTGTATCAGAAAAATTTTCGTGGGCGTACATTTTTAATTTTTTTTTTTGGGCGGGTACATGTTGTTGCGGTTAATATTTATTTAATTAATTTTTTGAAATGTTGTAATTATGTATTTTTTATAATAATTGTTTTTTATTTATTTTTCACCTACTATTAATTACTTTAAGTTATTATTTAAATTTTATTATTTAATTAATTTTTTATTTTTATGGTAGTTGTTATTTTGTTTTACAATTTTTTGAGTTTTTTATTTTTTTATTATTTTTTTAAATGTTGTAATTATTTTTTAATAATTTTGTTTTTTATTTATTTATTACATACTATTAATTACTTATGTTATTATTTAATTGTTATATTTTTATTATTTTAATATTCGATTCAATAATAATTAAATTTATTTTTTTTTATTTATTTTAAAATTAATAAATAATTATTAAAATAAGTAAATATTTTTTTTACAAATTTATTATTTCTTATGGTAGTTATTATTTTGTTTTACTTTATATTTATATTTTTTTGATTTTGAATTTTTTTATTAATTTCTTGAAAATTTTTTAATTATGTTTTTTAGTATTTGTTTTTTGTTTTTCACACTATTAACTACTTTATGTTGTCATTTAATATGATTAATATGTTGTTTATGTTATTATTTAATTTTTATATTTTTATTATTTTAATATTCAATTCAATAATAATTATATAACAATTATTAAAATAAATAAATAATTCTTAAAATAAATTAATATTTTTTTATTATTATTATTTATATTTATTATTATTATTTTGTTTTACTTTATATTTATAATTTTTTGAGGTTCCTTTTTGGAGGCGGTTGCTGAGATTGAAATTTGTTTTAACTAATTTTTTGAAATTTTAAATTATTGTTTTTTTTTGTCAAATAACTATTTTCTATTTATTACATACTATTAATTACTCTATGTCATTTTTTTTAATTTATATATTTTTATTATTTTAATATTCGATTCAATAAGTTTTATTAATGGTTTTTCTAATTAATTAATAAAATAAATAAATATTTGTTGATAAATTTATTATTTTTATGGTAGTTAATATTCTTTACTTTATATTTATTATTATTATTTTTATTATGACCATTTATTATTTTGTTTTACTTTATATTTATAATTTTTTGAGGTTCCTTTTTGGAGGCGGTTGCTGAGATTGAAATTTGTTTTTATTAGTTTTTTGAAATTTTTTATTATTGTTTCTTTGTCAATTAATTATTATTTTTTATCTATTGCATACTATTAATTTACTTTATCTATCTATTAATTTTTATATTTTTATTATTATACTATTCGTTACAATAAGTTTTATTAATGGTTTTTCTAATTAATTAATAAAATAAATAAATAGTTATTGATAAATTTATTACTTTTATGGTAGTAAATATTCTGCTTTACTTTGTATTTATTATTATTTTTTTTATTATGACCATTTATTATTTTAAATTATTTTATTAAAGTCTCTTAGATAATTTATAACTTTAAATATTGCATAATTAATTCATGAATTAATAAAAATTAATTTTCTATAATTTTTCTTTATTTTTTGTGGCCTCTGAGACATATTATTTTCTTTAGAGAAATGTTTTAAATTAAATTTTGGAAATTTAGTAATTATGTTTTTTCAAATATGTTTTTATTTATTACCATTAATTATTATTATATTTTTACTATTTTTAAAATGAGGTAGAATTGTTTTTAAACTAATTTTTTGAAATTATAAATATTTTTAAAATAAATTTTTTATTTATTACTAATAATTAATTATAATTATAGTATAATTAATACTATTAATTACTTTTTAATTATTTTTATTATTCTAATATTTTTTTTTTTATTTGTTTAATATTATTATTTTAATATTTGTAATAATAAATGAAAAATTATAATTAATTATAAAATATGAAGATTTAATAATAAATATTTATTATTGTAGTTAATATTAATTCACTTTTTATTTATTATTATTATTATTATTATTATTATTATTATTTATTATTATTATTATTATTATTATTATGATTATTATTTTTATTATTATTATATTATTATTATTATTATTTATTATTATTATTATTATTATTATTATTACTATTATTATTATTATTATTATTATTATTATTATTATTATTATTTTATTATTAGTATTATTATTATTATTAGTATTATTATTATTATTATTATTTATTATTATTATTATTATTATTATTATTATTATTATTATTATTATT